CGGCTCCTGCCTTCGTGCTGGGATGGCGGCACGGCCGCCCTCGGGGCTAAACCTCGCGACGGGGACGCTCCGAACGCAGCGCGACACCCGCGGCCTGGCCCTGCCGGCCTCGCGCGGCGCCAGAGCCGCAGGGCTAACCCGAGGGTTTTCTTTTCAAAGTGTGGGATAAACACAGAAATTCAGCACTAAAACCTAATTCATATTCAAATTTTATAACTTCTTTTTTCAAACAGACCTGTGAATCTTATAGCAAACACTTCTCTTGGTGAAAACAGGGGAATTGCAATGAGAACACACGCACCTGTTTAGGGAAAGCTGCAAGATCCCCTCAGGGAAAGCAGCCTCACAGCCCTCTCCCTCTGCGCAGTCTCTCCCCAACTGCTCAGGACAACTTCTGCTTAGCTGCCTTTCACCGAGGAGCGGATTCTGCAAAGACATCCTGCCTCCTGCCAAGCAGGTGAAGTCACCCTCAGAAACCTATGGGTCCTGGCAAGGAAACTGGCTCCATCACACGCACAGGAAAGGCAGCAGATGGTAATGTTAAAAATATTCCCAGAGAACAACAGCACCCCTATGGCACCGGATAGCAGGGGAGACCGCTGCTGCTCCCAGCTCCCTGCCAGCCACCTGCTCAGGCTATCGGAAAAGCAAGAGCCTTCCCCAAGGCAGGACCAGCGGGAAAACCTGCGCAGGCCCCTTCGGAAGCTGCCCTTGCACACACAGCAACCACGCTGGCTAACAGTGCTGCAGCACACAACCACTACCTGAAATTCATCTCTTTAAGAACACCTCAACTTAGATCCTTGGAATAAAAAGAGTCTCTACGAACAGTTACTCTGTTAGAATCCTTTAAGGCAGACAAGAAATGTGTTTAGGTAAAAGGCAACAGTATAGAATGGAAGACATCACTCACCACAGGCTAGAGAGATCTTTGCCTTTGGATTCAAAAAAGCATCTACGCAAAAATCACAACTTCTGATACACTTGGTAGGGCATGAGATGAGGCAGAGGCTCCCTTCCCGCAGGGCTGGAGCACAGACGTGTGCTCCCTGCTCTCCTCTGCTTCAGAGGAACAGGAGAACTGTGCTCAACTCTGCCTGTTGTGGAAATCCGGAAGAGGGAGAGAACTGTCCCACTTGGCAAGGTCTGTCTCTTCTGCAAGCAAAGTCTCTGCTGCAGAGAGAAACACGCTTGAAGTCACAACATCAGATGGAGGTTTCACCTCTTCTTTTTGGCAACGGTATAATTAAATATATTGGTTTCCAAGTTTGTACAGCTATAGGGAGACAGCAGACAATCTAAGTTACTCCAGTCTTCTGAATGTGCTGGGCAGGTTTTGCCCGTTGATGCTGTCCAGCCAAGAGGAGCGCGCGCAGCAGCTCCTGGCCACGAGCGGCCTTCCAGGCCAGCCAACACGAGCAGCGGGCGTCCCCGCTCCAGCTGCTGAGCACAGATGCTCCCCTTACACAGACAGGACCCCACGGCAAGGAGCACAAGGAGGAGCCCGTTAAAAGCAAACTAGACCAGAATGCCGCTGCCTCTTGCAGGAGATGGTATTACAAAGGGTAAAGCACCGCCAGACACGCACTGTGCTGCGGCTGCAACTGTTTACGTAGTGACCAGGGAAGAAATCTGCGAAACAACTTAAAAATAAATAAGTAAAATTACCCGTAGAGTCCAGAGGACAGATGGCACAAAACCCATGAATCACTCTGGCTACAAATGTCAGAATGGCTCACGTTTCAGACTTCGGGGAGCACTCGTAGACAGAAGAAGACTGAGAGAATAAGTTAAAAGTTTGTCCATACTGCAGGCATGCAAAAAACCCCACAAAAAACAAAACAACAAAACCCTCATCTCAGGATAAGTTATTTCTGCAAAAATATCTGCAAGGAAGTCTCACACATCTGTTGCTATTGCTAATTATTGCAAAGGAAATTGCTTTTTTCATACAAGGCTTATGTGCCTATTTTTCAACTTTGTTCTAACGTAAAATTCCATCAGTGATATTTTCCTTAAAAAAAAATGGATTTAAATTAAATAATTTCACAAGGAATGTACCAAACAATTAATTTTTTTTTACTAGTATGAACTTTCCTGTAAAGTGTAATCCTGGGAATCCTGGGAATCACACCCACTAAATTGTGAAGACAGCCACTTCTATAGGCAGAGGCAGCAAGAGAGACAATCTGTGCAACAGCTGGTTTTAAAGGAGATCAAGAGGCAATCAAACACTCAGAATCACGTTATCATATAATCTATCTGTAAAAGCGTTTGACCCGCCTGGTGTTTTGTCTAGTACTTGTCAGCTTTTGAACTACGGCAGAATCAAATGAAAGTTACCTGGACTCATGAACCTGCCTGTGGAGACAAATCTACCAGCAGCCGACTTGGAGAGCAGCAAATGAAGCAGTCGGTGAGCAAAAGGTAGGACAGGTTGTGCTCCGTTTGAACTAACCGGGATCTTTCCAAGATCTGTGGCAATTTAGGCAACCCTTGGAAAATACAGGTCTCTCAAAACGTCTCATTTCTGGAAAAGTAGTGAAATAAAGGCCAGGAGTCCCGGTTTAACAGGGAATTAAGAAACGTACCTGTGAATAATCTACCCCCTTGTCTTTTTTTTCTTTTTTTGCCCTTACCATTTCCTTTCCAGAAGGTGACATATGCAAGCTGCGCAAGTTTAGGCCTTGAGGGACCTGTATTTCTTAAATCATGACCTTCCACAACAGGAAAATAGTAGGATTTAATTTCTGGAACAGGAAGCAAGTCTTCTCAAATCAAATAATCAACTTTCCAACCCTTCTGCATATCTTTAAAAGCAAAAAACAAAACTTTCAAAGCAAACAGCAGACCTAATTCTAAACCTGCCAAATTGCCTACATCTGGTTATTGCTCAACATTTCTGGTTAGAAATACTTTATTTTGCTGGAACCATTTTATAGAGCTAACAAAATGTTGGAAATTTTAAAGTAACTTGTGTTCTGGTATGAAATGATCACAGCTGTGCTACTTAATTCCACAGGAACACTGCCTAGAGAGACATTTCCATAGACTGCCAATAAGCAATTGCTGTAAACACCCAGATGGCTAATTTTATCACAGGACACAGAGGCTGAGGCTTACAATGCAGCTCCACTTTTTACTGCTTATAACCACAGCAAGACATCCAGACAAAATGTCAAATTCCTAAAGTCACGGAGAAGCAGTACGTGGAGGTAACCATGCCTACACCCCTCTCCCAGAAGATCCATCTGCCCATATCACCCCATCTCCAGCAGAGACATTTCAGCTTGCTCTGTTTTATGGCATCCAGAAATCCCTTTTTGCCTGGAATAATGCTGTGAGCAGATCAAAAAGACAGTTTAAAGGGAGCAAATGGGATCACTTTGAAGTCATTGGATTGACAATCCTCCCGCCTGATGCTGTTTCACTCCTGCACCCTTTTTACCTCAGCTCACAACCAAAGCTTATTTTTCTCCATAATCTTGTCTGAAGTAATCTCAAGGGATGGTGAAATCCTCTGAAAAGCTTCACAAATCCACTTCTCAGTGCTAAATAACAAACATAACTGATTACCCAGATACCTGCCTGCACATACATGGTTGCTTCAAAAGGAGTTGGAGAAAAAAAGAAGCATCACAGGTAAGTTAAGGACACTTTATCTGGACTTAAGATTTCATTTTTCCAGTATGTACTTAAAACAGAAATTAAGATTTTGGAGTAGAATGGGAGAAAGGGTAGGCTGCATCCATTCAAACATTGGAATCAGGGTAACAAAGGTCCCCACAGAAACCAAACTCATTCAGCAAACAGAAAGGTTTCCTCAGAAGACGAGTGCAGAAAGGCAAGTGTAACCTTGAGGACAAATGTCACAGCCACATAGTGTTCCAGCGCTGGATATAATTAGCAGGCTCCTGTATGTTAGAAACTATTTCTGTGATTATTTTTATTTCACTTTCCACTAACAAGACCGTTAAAATGAAAAAAAAAAGGCCATAAAGAGTTAAATTATATACTGTAAACCTGTTTGTGTCCCCTGTGGAGGAGCACAGCACAAATGTTACTCAGCAGCGCAGGCAATCTCAGCGTTCGGAGAACAGCGAACGACTGCTCACCACCTGCACGCTGCAAGGACACGGAGAGCTGCAGCCAGCGGGGTGCGGAGGGGTGAGCGTTCCTCACTGACAGCTCAGACCAGCGCTTTTCCTGGCACAGCCTTACCCATAACTGTTCCCACACATCTGTCATCCTAGGAAAAGATTCATGATTTGAAACTGCTCGGTGTGAAAGCACCAGCAGCCTTCAGAAATACCGTTACTCTTAGTTATAGCAACTGTTAATTTGTTTCTCACGTTACCAATTAGGCTGCACCATTTTAGAAGTCCATGCATGGACCGGATGATGCCGGAGTCCTCCTGTTTCAAAGATACCAAAACACTAAAGCCATAAGTGCTTCAGAACCCAGAGCTACAGAGTTGACTGCAATCCTCTAGCTAGAGCTCTGGGGATACCCGGCTTCCCACCAAGAACAGTTATAAATAAAACAAAGTTGGTTTCTTTTTTCTAGATTTTTTTTTCCAAGACAGATAATGTTTCTGGTCTACATAAATTGCAACCAATATGTTTATGATTTCCTTGCATAGAGAGACAGAAATTAACTATCACCATCACAAACCATTTCTATTCTGCATAAAAGAAATTGTCTTCCAGCACACATTTAAAAAAATAGTTTAAGATATTTTAAGCAGCTCTCCCTTATATCTAATTCAGGTAAACTAAAGTGCAACTGCATCGGGGACTGTAGATCCAACTCTTGCATACTGTTGTTCACTGCATGGCAAATGAGTTTTGTGATTTAAGAAGCTTTGAAACCTTACTCAGTGGTAATCTCTTGCATAGAGAGACAGAAATTAAGTATCACCATCACGAACCATTTCTATTCTGCATAAAAGAAACTGTCTTCCAGCACACATTTAAAAAAAAATAGTTTAAGATATTTTAAGCAGCTCTCCCTTATATCTAATTCAGGTAAACTAAAGTGCAACTGCATCGGGGACTGTAGATCCAACTCTTGCATACTGTTGTTCACTGCATGGCAAATGAGTTTTGTGATTTAAGAAGCTTTCAAACCTTACTCAGTGGCAATCCTGACAAAACCGTGCTTTGCCTGGTGTGTTTATCAAGCCAAGAGCCTGGCAAAGCCATTAGCATTCTGAGTTATTGGAGTATTCTAGGCACAGCAGGTAAAAAGGACAGCAGCGGTCGCTCATCACCTCCTCCTCTCCCCCAGCAATGCTGGGGGCATCTTCCTCTCCACCGTTGCTCATCTTTGACCAGCTGGGATGCAGCTGGGAGAAGAGTCATTTAGAGCCAGTTTATGGCTGCTCTCACAGAGAGACGAGAGCGAGACCCTCGGTAACGACGCTCACTGTACGAGCGCTGCAACGCGTCCTTAAAACTGGCACCAACTGTGAGCC